TGCCGGCGCGCGCCTTCCTCTGCTCGCGCAAAGGCTGCCTCCTGCTGGCCGAATCGGTGAGTGCGGCGGGGGCCCTGCCGCGGGGAGCGCGCACTCCGGAAAGCCGCCTGGGACCCTTCCGGCCGGGCCCGCGTGGCGCCACCGCGCTTCTCCATAAAGTGGAGGTCGAGGTGGGCCTTAGGTCCCAGTGGGCGGTGCAGCGGTCTGAGCACGTCGCGCCCCTGCGCCCCGCTCGGCCGACTCCTGTTCGGAGCTCCCAGCGTTGGAGAAACTTCCCCGAGTTTCGGACGGGTTCACTGAGGCTCAGATCACCAGGCAGTGGCGAGGAGGGCCCCGAACACAGACCTTCCCGCGCTTCTTGAACCCGATTGTCCCAGGTTGGGGGGCCGCAGGGAAGCCCGAGGGGATCCGGCAAGGGGAATGGGTTCCCGCCGCCGGCGCAGTGTGACCCTCGAGGCCGGACTGCGCCTCTGGCCTCTCCTGGCCTCAGCCGCGGACGCCGTGCTTCGCGCGCCCGCCCGCCACCCTCTGGGTGGGCCCCGGAGTGAATCAGCGCCTTCGGCTCTCAGTGAGCCGGGGTGGGGTCCACTCTTCGTTTTCCTGGGAGCAAGGAGCACCGACCCGGAGCTGCGGGGCGGAGACTGCTGCGCCTCAGGGACCTCCCGCCAGAGGGAAGCTTGACCAGCTGGGCGGGTGGAGGGCTTGGTAGAGTGGGATGGGGACCCTCGGGGTTAGGCGAGGCCCGGGCGGTTCTGCAGGCAGCGTCGCGGCGGCAGAGGGACGGGAACGGCCCCCAGCGGGTGACTTCATTCTTCCTCCACCCTTCGCTCCTCGCGCCCTGCAAGAGCTCCTTCCTCCTTCCCTCTGCATCCCCCTCCACCCCCGGCCTTTTGGCCGCCTTTGTCCTCCCAACACTCCGAAAACTCCCGCACTGTCCGCCTGTGGAGTAGAGGGTTGGCGCTGGGCTTGCTGGGGTGGAGGAGGAAGAGGCCTTGCAGGCGAGCAGACACGATTAGGGGAAGCACTGGGCGGCCACTTGCTTAAAGCCCCCAGCACCTTTACAATACCTGTCCTGAGCCCCCTTTGCAGAGAGGTGAAGTCTAGGGGGTTTGATAGGCCAGTTTAAGATCCGACTGAGAGCGAGGAGTTGGGCGTGGGGCCAGGAGGAGCAAAGACGATTCTGCCCCCAATCCCTTTACCTCCTAGAGTAGATGGCAAGAGGTGGTCCTATAACCTCTTCTGCCCTTGGAGTCAGCCAAGAGTCCAGCACCTGTCCAACTCCCAGGTGAAGGGACAGGGCCCAGGACTCACAGCCTGAACCCTGAAGCTTTTTTGGGGGGCTGCCTCAAATCCACCTGGGAGACTGATGGGGCCTAGTTTGGGAAGAAGCTTGGATCTCCTGTCCACTGGGGACCCCAGCTTCACCAAGACCACTTCCTGGGTGGAGAGGATGCTGCCCAGAACATAGAGCAAGCCCTTGGTCTAGCTAACGGGCCAGGAATCTAGGTCTAGGAGGATGAGGAAGGGGGAAGAAAATGTGGGGGCAATGGGCTCAAGAGGAGCTGTCCTAGTTACTCCTGCCTCCCTGGTCATCTCCCCAGCCTCTACCCCCCAAGCAAGTTGGGGAGGCTGGCATGGATAGAAAGGGGGAGGAAGCCACCAGCAGGAATCAGGAAATGAGAGGGGAATCTCCAGAGTCAGGCTGGTAGGGGTGAGGGGAGGGACGTAGGAACAGCTCTCAACACAGGAAGTTGTACAGGAGCTGTGGACTGGAAGTTTAGGGTCCCCCGGCTTTGCTTTCCTGGGAGGCCCTGGCAACCTGTTAACCCCTCTGGGCCTTAGCTTCCCATTTGGACAAGGAGAGCCCAGCTACCCCACAGCCATGGTCAGGACAGAGGAAGGGGGCCCTGGAGCCCTGGCATTCCTGAAGTTCTTTTGTCTGAAGCAGCCACAGTGCCACCTGTAGGGCATCTGGGGCCCCTCTGGGGCCTTCTGAGCCAAGGTGGCTTCCCCTCCTGCCACTGCTCACCCCGCCTCTGGACCCCACTCTGTGTACCTCAGCCTTGAACGTGCTCACACCCAGCCAGAGACAGGAACCAGGAAGTTGAAGGCCTCCACCAGCACCCCCAGGGTAGGGTTGCTTAAAAACTCCAGCTGTGGGGTCAGCCAGCCCTTGGTTCAAATTCTGATGCCCCTCTTTCATGTCACAGCAAAGCTCAGTCTTCTTATCTGTAAAGTGGGGCTGTGAGCAGCGCCTGGCCCGTGGGTGGTTGTGAGGATCAAAGGAGATTCCCACACCTCTCAGCGGGCACTGGCACAGAGGAACCGTCACCTTGGCCTGCCCATCTCCAAATGGGGCAGAAGGTGGAGCCCTTCCCACACACCTTCAGAACTGCGAGGGGCCTCAGCGTCCTCCGGCCATCAGTCGCTTCCACCCTTCCTGTGCTGCGGACAGGGCTGCAGGGGACATTTTGATTCCTGTAGTTCCTCCTGCCCCTTGTGAATTACTAAACTCCCAGAAGTGGAATTCGACGGTGCACCCTGAAGGGCTAAAGCATCTTTCACAGAGGCTGACCAGATGATGCAGGGGGCCAAGGTGTCCAGGGAGTGCGTCCTCCTGGATGCTTTCTCTTACTGGTATGAAAACTGTCGAAATCCAAAAAAGGTGAAAGATTGACTCATACCCACAACTTAGGCAGTGCAGTTGTTTACCAGCTGTCATGGAGTCATCTGGCCCCATGGCAACCCCATATCTGTCAGAGAACTGTGCTCCATAGGGTTTCCAATGCTGATTTTTCAGAAGTAGATTTTTCAGGCCTTTCTTTCAAGGTGTCTCTGGGTAGCCTCAAACCACCAACATTTTGGTTAGCTGCCAAGCCCATCTGAACCACCAAGACTCCTACATCAACATTATTCGATTTGCTTTATCACATGTCCATCTATCCATCAATCCATTTTTTTGGTGCATTCAAAATAAATTACAGACAAAAGTACATTTCAACTCTCATCGCTTCAGCATGTATATCATTAATTAAAAGTTCAACTGGTTTTGTTTTGTACATCCATGCAAAGCACAAATCCGAGGTGTTGGATGTTACTTTTTGAAACTGGATTCTGTTTCCTGGGCTCCCCTGACCCTGCTTGACTTTGATTTGTCCCTTTGGACGCCACTGGGTTGGGTGGTTTCTGCTACCTGCTGGGGTGAGGGATAGGAGTTGAGGCTTCCTGATTGGGTCCGTGAGCTGGAGTGGGGTGTGGACTCCGAGCCACACCCGGAAGTACTAGGAGAGCCTGGTTCTCATGTTGTTAAATGCAGTTGAGTCCATTTAAACTCAGAGCAAGCCCATGTGACAGAGAACTGTCCCATAGGGTTTTCTCGGCTGAGTCTTTATGGGAGCAGATGACCAGGTCTTTCTCCGTGGAGCTGCTGGGTGGGTTCAAACCACCAACCTTTTGGGTTAGCAGCCCAGCACTTACAGGGGTCCTCGGGCCCCACGACTGGGAGCCTATGCTGACTGCTGCTCACGAGCTGCGGGACTTGGGGCAGGTTGCTTCCTCCTGGGCCCTCAGCCCCCTCCGGTATTCCTGCCTGTAGGGCCTGCTCCTGGGAGCACTGGGTAAGGGGCCCTGCAGATGCTCTGACGCCGGTCCTGCCCACTCCCTCCCCCCAGGGTCTCTCCTTCATCACCTTCGTCTGCTACGTGGCGTCCTCTGCGTCCACCTTCCTCACGGCACCCTTGCTGGAGTTCCTGCTGGCCCTCTTCTTCCTCTTTGCTGATGCCATGCAGCTGAATGACAAGTGGCAGGGCTTGTGCTGGCCCATGATGGTGAGGGCTGGGGCCCCAAAAGGAAGGGGTTGGCTGCCCAGCCCATGGGCAGGGAACCAGAGGCTCCAGTGGTCGGAGGAAGAAGCCAGAGTGCATTTTGTTCCCTTTCACCCCAGACCCTTTCTTCAGTGGCTGGAGGTGCTGTTTGCAGTTGGTTAGAGCCAGGTGGAGAGAAACCTGGCTTCAGAAAAACCAGCCCTGCCATTCACCATCCACACGACCAGAGCAAGTGGCTATACCTCCCCAGCCTTCAGTGAGATGGCAACCCAGAGACAGCCCTTTCGCCCCTGGCCACCAGGTGGCGCTACCTTTTCCCCCACTGAGCCTGCTAGGCAAGCGCCTCAGCCGCAGGAATGCAAGCCATTTCCACATGGGCCGGGCGGGTTAACTGAGGACTTTCAGGGTTTATCCAGCACATAGCCGGCTGGCAGTCCTGGCTTCATTTTATCAGAGCCCAGAGCCCGGCCAGTGGACTTTGCTGAATGAAATTAGGCACGGAGAAGGGACAGCGAAGTTGGACTTGAAACCCAGTCTCTTGAGTTCATGTCCAGCATTCTCCCACCTGCCTGAGAAGGGCTCCACCTTCTGCCCCATTTAGAGATGGGCAGGCAGAAACCGTAACACAAATGGATCTGCCACAGGTGCCGCACTGGAGGGCCAGAAAGGAGCACGTAATGGGCTCCAACCTCTACCTGGCTCCTGAGTGGAGCCAAGCCCTAGGGCAAGCTAGACACTGTAGTCTGGACCATACCTTGTTGGGGACAGTGGACCAGGGACAGGGCAGCGTCAGCTGCTGGCAGCCATCAGAACAGGACTAAAATGAGAGTCAGGAGACGGGGGGGGGGGGGGGGGGGGCCCAGAGAGGGTGGGAGCCATGGATCTTGGGCCTGGGGGCCAGGTGTGTGACCAACTTGCCAGGCCCACACTCCTCTGCCACCCCAGTGCCCTTCTGAACCACTCTCTCCTGCCTTGGCTCCCACCGGCCCCCTCCTCACGCAATGTCCCTCTGTCTCCCTCGGCCCAGGACTTCCTGCGCTGTGTCACGGCAGCTCTCATTTACTTCGCCATCTCCATCACGGCCGTCACCAAATACTCTGACGGAGCCTCCAAAGCGGCCGGGGTGAGTAGCCTCTGGGAAGAGATTACGCAATGAATGCCCCCCATCTCTGCCTCCTGCAGCCCAGGTACCGCTCAGTGTACCCATTTGGTTGCAACCTGGGCACGTTCTTTCCCTGCCGGGCCCTGCTCCCTCCCCTAATGCAGACCTCAGCACATTTTCCCATTTCTCACTCCTTAGGGTGGTCTGTGCCCACCAAGCTAAGCTTCGTATCCAGGCAGACAAGAAGTGGGCTGTGCGGCTGGGGCGGCGCCTCCCCAGGTGCCCCATCTACCTGTGCTTGGCACCCTGGTCACCACCCCATCTGCCGTGCTCCACAGGTGTTTGGCTTCTTTGCCACCATCGTGTTCGCAATTGACTTCTACTTGATCTTCAACGACGTGGCCAAATTCCTCAAACAAGGGGACTCCACGGATGAGACCCAGGCAGGAACCGGATGCCCCCTCCCAAATTGGCCAGCAGAAGGTGACAGAGCAGTAGGTAGGTCAACTCTCCCTGCGTTGAGTCAGACCCGATTCATAGCGACCCCTCCTTGGGTTTCTGGGGCCGTATCTCTACAGAAGTAGATTGCCCAACCTTCCTTCCGAGGAGTGGCTGGTGTGTCTGAACCTCCGGCCTCTGGTTAGCAGTCAAGTGCCTTAGGCACTAAGCCACCAGACCCCTAACCACTCTGAAACCGGGGAACCAGACTGCTGCCAGGGCTGCTTCTGCAGCCCCATCCTCCCTTGGGGACAGTGGGTTCCCGGAGTTGGGGTGGGAGCATTTCCTCTCCCCCTTGGGCAGGAAGTGTTTTTCCACCCCAGTGCTCATATCCATTCATGGTCACTGATCATAAAACCAGTCCGCTTGGGGTGAACAGGCTCCTGGGGCCTCAGCCTTTCCAGGAAGGACAAGGCGAGGGCATAGCCACCCACCCTGAGGGCTCATCACCTCCTCTGTGAAACTCTCCCCTATAAGCCCCCAGTCACAACTTCAGTACTCCTGTCCCCAGGAGTCACCTGCCCACCGCACCAGCTCCCCCAGCAGTCTTACCAGCCTGTGGGAACCACACTGTATCCTTGTTGGCAACACGCAGCCAAAGTCAGGCAGGCTCGAGCTTGTTTCATTTTCACTTCCAAGGAGTGCAGTGTTCCGGCCCCCCAAGCCACCCTTGTTCACCAGCTCAGCATGGCTGCCATGCCCACTACTGGCTTAAACAAGGTCAGGACTGAAAGTGAGGGGGTTGGCTTTTTCACCTGTGACAACACAGCCACACCGTGTCACGTCCTCGGGATGCTGTGGCCTGCACTGGCTGGGGCATGCGATGGCCTCTGCAGAGGTGGATGAGGAGGGACCACAGCTAGTTTGGAGGCTGTGGTGTCCCTCCAGCTTTTCCACAGCCACAGGCCTAGGTTCCTGCCTGGGGAGGTCCCCACCCCGAGGGACAGGAAGAGCAGAGCTGGTGCAGGCTGAAAAGGAGACAGGAGCTGACCCGGGACAGAGCACCTGGCTTCCCATCTCTCTAGCCTATTGGCCATTTCCCTGCCTCACCCCCTGGGAGGTTCAGAATGGTGAGGCAGCCACCATTGTTGGCCTCCAGCTCAGACCTCAGCAGGCTCCTTGCAACTGGATGAGGCAGCTGTCTGTCTGCAGTGCCAAACTGACCCAGTGCGGTGTCCCCAGGCCCCATGCCAGCAGCTGTTGAACTTGACACCTGCTGGGACTGGCCTGGGCTGGGTACCCAGGGATCAGCCGATGGGCAAGGCCGGGCCACCTTCCCTCGGGGAGCTCACAGGCCAGGCAGGAGGTAGAACCAGAAATGGACAGTGGTTCTGTACACCGTGGGATATATGCCTGGAGAGATGTCAGGGAAGGCCTCCCAGATGGGGCAGAAATCACAGCAGCAAAATGGCTGCGAACGGGGTGCCAGCCTGGCTGGAGGCTGGTGTGGTGTCCTAGAGCTGGGTGTTGATGGGGTGGGTGGAGGGAGGAGGACGACGGATTCCAAAGAGCAGGGTGCCTGTCCAGGTGCCATGCTTCTCTGGGACGGGTGCTGCAGGGCAGGGCCAGCAGTCACACAAGGCTGAGCAGGTAGACAAGGGCAGAGCGAAGGCCCTGCAAGGAGCTGGGCCCGTTCCTGTAATGTACCTGTTGCCCTTAGGCGGGCCCCACCCAGGTAGTTTCTGAACCAGCGGTTTCCTAACAGCTGGACTTCTGGAGCCGCAGAATCTGCGAGCCCCAGAAACCATTCCTCTGCCACAAATGAATGAAGCTTACCTTTTCCTGCTCTGCAGCAAATCAGGGGTTAAACGCTCCCAGACACTTTCTTTAGGCCTGTGCAACCTGCTACCAGTTGTCTGGGAGCCCTGGTGGCACAATCGTTAAACATTTGGCTGCTCACCAAAAGGTCAGCAGTTTGAACCCTCCAGCTGTTCTGCAGGAGAAAGATGAGGCAGTCTGCTTCCGTAAAGATTTATAGCCTTGGGAATCCTGTGTGGCAGTTCTACTCTGTCCTACAGGGTCACTGAGTCAGAATAGACGAGATGGTAGAGGGGTTTTTGTTTTTAATCTAGTGGGTACTGAATATATTAAAATCTCACCAGGCTAGATGTTGGTACAGGCGTGAGGGGAGGAATCAGGGTTTGTGAGGTTTCTCCAGGCATGAAGGGACTCCCAGGTGCTCCACCAGCCCCTGTCCCAAGCTTACCATGAGGGCTGATAGGGTTCTAAGAGACAGAGAGGCTGAAGAGGTGATCATCAGAAAACGGCAGTAGGGCGGGGGGATCGGTTACTGGGGTGGCAGTGTGTGACAGTTCTCTAGAGAACTCTCCAGCACAGAGTTTTCAGGAACCTTCTGTTACACCTCACGGGCAGCCCTGTAACAACATAAAATTATTTCTGGACACAATATAAAGATGGGGAGGGGACAGAAAGTGGAAAACAGCTAAAAACAGGCTTTTGGATTTTTCCACATATTCTCATGTTCTGGACAATAGCTATCTCTAAAGTGTAGGCCCACCTTGTCCACCAAAGTGAGGGAAGAGATGGAGTCAAGGTACATCTGTGCAGCTCTGAACCCCTTACGTGAACAACAGGGAGACTTGTGGGGGCTGCAGGACTTCAGTCTGGAGTGGCAGCCTGCCACCCCCACCCCCACCTGGCAGTGAAAGGACTGCCTGTGGAGGGTCCTGGGCATGGAGGCTGGCACAGCCTGTAGCTGCCCTCACGCCAAGCAGTTGTCTGCAGGAGAGGCCTGAGCCCAGGGCGCCTGCCAACAACCTGGCTTTCTGTGCTTTCCCCAGAGACCATTCCTGGGCACCAGTGCCCTGGCAACACCGCCAAGCATCCTCTTTGCTTTCCTTTCAGAAGAGAATTCCGACTCTGACTCCGACTGAAGGCCCGGCCGTTCCTGGCAAACTGAGCCACCCGGGCCTTCACTCTTGCATGTCCTGCCTGAGCTGCCGGCAGCATGGCCAGGGGACACCGTGCTGGACGGAGGCCGCAACTTCCCCAGTAGCAGCAGGAGATGCTGACAGAGTGGGCCTCCCCACAGCCTCCAGGTGTATGTTCCAGAATCCAGGACACAAGACTGCACCCCTTGGTTTAGCGCTATTTAACCGCTCTGCACCCAAAGGCATTGCATATTCGACCCCTCATCCGTTTCCATCTCTTGGACCTTACACCATTTAACCTCTCTGCCAAAGACAAACTCAAGGAAGCAAAGCCTCGAGCTTTTGCCACTGCTCAGCTCCTGGTGTCAGGTGGAGCCTTATAACCTCCTGTCACAGTGAGCGCCTCATGCTGCAAGGTGGAGCAGGAGGCTGGTCTGTTCACAGGTAGGAACAAGTAAGACAGAATTCTCGGCAGGGCCGAGCCGCCAGGCACCAGTGGCTCCTGATGTCTGTCTGCATTTGGTCCATCTGTTCAGCCAGGCATTTAGCTGAGAGTGATCCTTCCAAGAGTTGAGCTCAAGGAGCATGTCTTCCTTCTTGAAGCCTTATCATCTAGGAAAGGGTGGGTCTACGACTGTTTCAAAGAAAAGCTCATAGACTAGCTGACCAGGTGGGTGCACAAGACTGAGGGTACCAGGTGGTGTCACGGCAGGGCCAGGTCCTGAGGGAGAGGTCCTCGGGGCACTCAGGACAGTGTACTAGACACCAGAGCAGGTCTTCTGACCACTTTGTGGAGATGAGACCGGTCTTCTGTGTCCAACGGATTTATACTGTGTTTGTATCCTTAGTGGGATCTTTATATAATTTTTTATACAAAAGTAGCTTTTTAAAAGGCATTTCCTGTGATCCAAGAGGCCTGTGAATGAGCCAGGGTTTGGGCCCTGGGTTTTGGGCATTTGTAACCATGTTCGTCTCTCGCATATGAATTTCCCACCCTGAGAAAGGCATACGGGATTAAATGGGACTGCCTGCCTGCTTCAGAGGGGTGTGTGAGAGAGAGACATCTGACCCCACCTGAAGCCTGCCTGCTTCGGAGGGGGGTGTGTGAGAGAGAGAGACATCTGACCCCACCTGAAGCCTGCCTGCTTCGGAGGGGGGTGTGTGAGAGAGAGAGACATCTGACCCCACCTGAAGCCTGCCTGCTTCGGAGGGGTGTGTGTGAGAGAGAGAGAAACATCTGACCCCACCTGAAGCCTGCCTGCTTCGGAGGGGTGTGTGTGAGAGAGAGAGAAACATCTGACCCCACCTGAAGGAATATTTTTCGCATATAATGCACCCATGTAAATAACACACACACACATATAACATGCATAGTATGCACAGGAAACTGATGCGGAAGGGGTTGCATGGTTCGCAAAACCTGTATAACGTATGTATACATTCTTTGTGTCAAAATCTGGTAACCACACGGTATCAGGACTACTTTTAGCCTTCAGCCCAAACTAGCTTTAGATTTTAGCAATAACCCAGGAGTACTTGCTCTGGGCTGGGCATCTGACATGTTCTCTTACTGATTCCTCTCAGTTCCGTTAGGGAAGGTCAGGTAACTTGCCAGGTCACCATAGCCCCTGGTGGAAGATCAGGGCACCGTCCCGTGGTGGCCCCTGGGTAACCAGAACCTGGGGCTCTGCACTTAGGAAACTGGTGCACCAGGGACCTCAAGAACTGCAACCCAGCAGGCAGTCGGCATTAGGCCCAGGCAATGGGATGAGGTGAGGGGTGCGGCCGGACAGATGGACGTCGAATGCGCAGAAGCCCAGAGGCACGTGCTGCTCCTCCACCTCGCCAGCCCTAGCACAGTTGTGATGCTGACTATCACTTTGTCCTGTCCCATGAGCTGCGTCTCCGTTCACCCTCACATAACAAGCGTGTGCTTTCAGGACGGTGGCAGGTGAGTGAGCATGAGAAAGGAGGAGCGCGAGTGACGTTTTTTACATGTTCATTTATTAAACAAGAACTCCTTCATGACAATTTAATACAATACTCATTATGATTAGTGCTGAGAAAATTATTTCCCTCTACATACAAAAATACAGATTTGAACGCTATGAAAACAAGCAGGACAAGTACCATGAAAAATTGGTCCTTCAAAGGGAATTAAAGGGGAGACTGAGGGTGGTGTGAGGCTTTGCTGTTGGGGACCAACAGGAAGGAAGCCTTGGAGGCCCCCAAACCCCTCCACATGGACAGTCCCCACCCCCCCACCAGGGCACTAGTGTCACGTTTGAGAAGGGGGAGGGGCTGTACAACATTTACAGATGGGGGCACCTCAGAAGGCCCAGAGCCCAAAACAAATAAAGGACTTCAGAAGCAAAATAGTAACAGAACACGTACCCCCAAAGTGCCACTAGGCATGAGTAACCATTATACTGGAAAGTTACTACTCAGCCACCTGACTTGACTGCCTTTGTTATAAAATAACTACATATTCAGACCCTTCCAAAGGACAAAAAGAACCAAATGCTACAATGCACGCCGCCACAACGCCTTCCCTTCACTGGCGACAGCTCAGCTAGCCCCCTCGATTTCTCTTGAGCAGATGTAACCATCGGCCTCCCTCCTACTGGGGTGGGACAGCAAGGGGAGCAGCATTAGTGTTATCTGTGCCTCCGTACGGTCAGGCTGCTCACAGCATGGTCTACTTGATTCAGGCCAAGCCTAGAAAGGGCCACGGAGCTGGTCCGGAGTGTCCCTGAGCCAATCTGAAAGATATCTGAGAGGCAAGAGAGCCCTAGGGACCAGCTGAGGCCCTCTCGGGAGCCCATCTGGTTCAGGAGGGGGAGGCCCAGAGAACACCCTTCTGGTCACCAGCCTGCAACAACCAGGGAGAGAGCCAGGTAGGCTCTTCAGCATTTTAAACCCAAGAAGGGGCAGGCAGAGCACTGGTGGTGGTCTTTTCTTATTTCCTGTGTTGGAACCACTTTCTGTTAACTGCTCTGGGTGAGTGGTGGGTACTTCAAAATGAGCCCATGGTTCAGAAATGCCAAATGCCCGTCCACTGATTAGTACTTATTTCACAGAAATAGACCGCCCCCCCAGACTATTTCAGTAAGTGGGGAGGAGGCCGGGGGGGAGGAGACAGGAACAGCCGGTTTGTTTTTCTTTTCAAAAATACAGATGAAATCCAGGGGAATGGCCAAACCCCCAAACCCGCACTGCTCAAAGGGCATGATCTCCAGGAATGCTACAGAAATAGTGTTCTCTGGTTTACTCAGATGTCCACCTCCCCTCAGTCCCGTAATTGACAGGAGTGTGACACACGGAAGGCACAAAGGTGAAGTGATTACAGTTTGTCTTAAAATACACACAGACAGCATTTCCTACTGGGGGGATGGTAAATACAGTCATACCTATAATAAATAGTTTCCTGTTTTTGCCATGGGTTCCTGAATGCCTACAAAATTCAACATATACAACAATATTTTCAATCCCTAGCATTCTCTTAGAGGGAACCACATCAAACAAAACCAAGTTATGAAAAGCACTGATTTCATCCAAATAGCTTTCACTGTGGGGCAGGATTGGCCCTTTTAAATGGGTTATGGTTCAAAAGAGCTGGAAACAGGTGGTGGGAGGTGTCCCAGGTGCTGGCACTGGCCCATCCCCAGGAACCAGCCTCCCACAGCCCTTGGCGCCAGCTCTCCCTTCAAGCCCTGGGTACCTGCCTGCCTCCCCTCTGCAGAGAAGGTAACAGGGTCCCAGCCCTCCCACTGATCCTGGCCAAAGCAGGAAGGCAAAGCCGGGCCCGTGCATGGAAGCAGCCGCCAGCCAGGGCTGGACCTGCCTCCCACAAGCAGCTCCCTCCACTGTCCTCATTTTCCTGACCATTCCTTTGGGTTGCTTTCCCGATAAAAGGCTGTTTCCTGCTGACTGTCAACAGCGTCATCCAAACATGACTCAGATTGGGTATTTTCAGACTATTACGAGTCCCATACAGGCCGTTATCAGAATGTCATTGGACACTTTCTCTCCTCTGAGGCATAATTATGAAAAGAAACTCTAGGCTTCACCCTGAACCCCAGCAACAAAGGTGAGGACGGCAGTTTAGACAAGTTCTTACTCACAAATTAGAACTATAAAGGTTCTGACAGCTATCCCAAGACCAGGGCACGTTAACACCGTAATTGCAGCCCGTCTGGGCACTGTGTATCGTACATCCCAACAAAACTGGGCCACCTCAGTGTCCACTTACTACATCACCCGAATTAAAGTGTTGACATTCAAAAAAAAAAAAAAAAAAAAGGTGACAAGATGCTCACTAACCCTGTGAAGCAGATACACCATCCATAATCTAGACTTGATTCTAGGCAAGTAGCCATTGCTTTAAACTCATGGGCTAGTGGGTTTGTATTTTTTTTTTCCTGTTATGTTTATGGATTAAGAAAAACTGGGAAGGAACAATACAAATGCCACAGGTTGAGAAATGGTATCTGAATGGAAAAGGGATACGTTCCAAACCAAACAAGAATATGTGTCAGGACCCATGCCTCTGTGTCAAGCCTAAGAGTATACAAATGTAATTTACTGCAGTGAAGAAAAGTCAAACAGAACCGTCACTGTCAGGAGGAAAACTGACTGGCACTAACAGATACTGAGGAGATTGTCCTTCAGAGATAGTTTCTATATAAAAGAAGTGTAAAAGGTCAAATATTTCAAATTACCTTCTGAACCAGTCAGCTCATAGGATTTTAATGATATCTGCTAAGAAGAGAAGAAACAGGATTTTACAAAGGCCAGGAACGTTTGCAAAGGTAAAGGGAGGCAGTGCTGGGTCTGTGTCCTATCTGCCCAAGGTCGCATCCATACCAGATTCTCAGTCACCTGTCCAGGTTCATAAGTCCCAAGCTAGACATCCAGGGCCCACCCCCCGCACCAAGGGATAAGTGGCCCCATCACTGCATTCTTCCCCTCAAGGCGATTCCACAACGTAAGACCTCACTTTT